TATATATATATATATATATATTAATTATTATTATATATTAATTATAATATATAGATTAATTATTAAAAGATTCAATACAGTATATATAGCATTTTCAATTTAGACACACATGGCTGCTAATTATTTTCTGAAATTATATGAAAAAAAATGCGAAAGATGTTCAGATATTCAAGTGTGCTGCGCGCATTAAGAGCGACTTATGCAGTTGCTTGAGGATTCGAATCCTTTCTCTCCTGTCGCATTAAAATTACTGCGCGCTACTTGGCGCGAAAGAAGTCATACGAGCGACAAAGAATCTACGTTATAGAAAGAAATATTCTGTATAATTACTGCATAATTACTTCTCTTGAATTAAATAATCTTTCAGATTAAATAAAGATTAAAATGTTTCGGACAAAACAAAATTTATTCGCGACAAATAAGGTCTGGGCTTTGGTTAAAGTGAACTCATCTCGCGTATCATCCTTTCACATTAATTATGTAAAGACAAGAGGGGTGTGTACACAGAAATATCATTCTATTGCTAAGAAAAGTGATCACTCAATTTATTTTCTTGCTTTTAAGTAAAATTTCAACAGAAAATATTTTTTGATAATAATATTAAAATGTACTTATTACATATTTCAGAACTCATTGTGTATTCAAAACAAGAACTTATTTTCTTTCGAAGAATATTATAAAATTGTTCGAAGAGAAGCAATTTTATATAATAGCAAATCGAATTTGTTTTAATGTAATGATCTTGATTGATGTCTATCAAACTTAGTAGAATTCAAAATACACTTTGTGAATAATGTGATAAATTATGATAGATTTGTGGATACACGAACTTTTGTTCGTAACAAGTAATTATTATTTGCGTACAGTAAATATTTTTTTATATATAGAAGAGGGAGAAAGACACTGGAGATGAAATTCCTCGATAAATCGGAGGGACTACAATTCGGCCAACTTTCGCCCGCCTTTTTTCGCGCATTACGTATCCTTAATGTATTTTAGCCTGACTCTGCCGACGATGGTATTTTATGAAGCGCGACGCGTATCGCTTCCATTATATCAGGTCGTTGCATTTTATTGATCGTACACGCCGGTGTGTTTCCACGTAATGCCGTGCTTGCGAAGATGTACGTGCAATCCGACAAACGAATAAACCATGGACATTCCCAGTTCGCGACTGAGTTTTCCGCTAATTAAAAATTCAGCTATCGGAACGATTTCGATGAGCTTCGATTTTGTACGGTGACGTACACACCGAGCGCTCTGGACCCGGAGAAAAGCTAACAACATTGCTATTAAAATTGTGGTGCGGTATGATACTTTTAAGATAAACCGGTATATACGTTCGATCCCAAGAGGAAAGTAGATATCGATCTTAGTGAACTTAAACACCCAGATTGTGACGGCGAGGAAATAATTTCTTTAGGCTTATTTCTATCAATGAAAATTAATTTTAGTCTTGGGCTAATTGTTTTCTGACTCTTAGAACTCCCTGAGAAACATTTCGGGTTGAAAATGGACGAACCAGAAAGGTCTGATTATACTTAATTAGAATTCTGATTATTTCAACTGGAATTATAATAAATTTAATGAGAAAATTCTGATTTGTACATTTTTAACCAGAATTCTAATTAATTCAGCCAGATTCTTTTTCCAGATAGAAGAAGAAGATAAAGGATACGTTAAAGAGATTAAAGTTAGTTAATTTACACTGGTAGAGATGGACATTAAATTGCATCGTTTTTCAAACGTTACTGTGCAGTGTTGCAGTTTTATAGCAATTTGAACTTTTTTTATACTTTGTACAATTACCGTCATCGGCTGTTTAATGTCTCCGACATTATTTTATCGAAATATTCGCGCGTTGAAGTAAAAAAGATATTTTGTCACGCCAAAAGAAACTTATGATTCCAATTTATTATTATTAGTACCTATTGACGTTTTATTTTTAAGGTTTTCAGATTCGAAGACGGTTTGGTGTCTGAAAATTTAAGTCGTCTTTATTAAAAATTAAAGCAAGAGAAATCAGTTTTTAAATTAAATTGCCAAGCGATCGCTGCAAGAATCTAATTATAATTAAATCGAGAATCTAATTTAGTATTGCTATCTTTTCACTTCGGTAAAGTTAGGTTTGTTCTTAGTAACTATGAAAGGAAACTTGGATTGAGTTTTCTTAAATAGCTGGTTAAGGCATAATTTGATTTCTATTTCATTATAATTTGTCGTTTCCGCGCAACAACATTCTTCTGTGAGTTGCGTTAAAGTAGGCTATAAACATAAACCTATTCTACTATCATGTCTAATCAAACAAGGAGTATTTCATTAATTATTTATTGTACAAGCTGAATAAAATTACACATGGAATAGCATTTTTTTTCCGGAATTTGTCAACTATGGTATATTTTTAGTTCCTGTATCATTTTGAGCTGAAAGATGTTTTGTTTAACAATATAAAAGCGTAGACGATCGAAAATTTATGTATTAAATTTCATCAATTTTTATTTATTCATTTTCTGTTTATTATTGCTAAATTCAATCTTTTGTTCACTCTGGCTAATGACATTAGATCAGATTCACGCTCAGTGACAAGATCTTAAATCACATCGAGCGGTTACGATACGGCAGCCTAATCAAATTATTACCCGGCTCGCGCCGAAGAATAATAACGAGATACGATGAACAAACGACGTTATCAGCGACGATTGGTTGAGAACCTTTCAGCATATCAAACACGGGCGATCTGCCAGGTTGCGATCGTAGGTACACTTGTCGCTAGAAAAACGAGAACGAGTATTGTTCGTCTCTTCTTCTTCGTATCTCTCCCGATTGGCCAAACAATATCGATACCGGTGATCTAACTTCAAGACTAGGTTTTGTAATTGATTATTCGTTTGCATTACTTTAATCGTTCGATAAAATTTGCATGTAACAACATTCAATGTGAAATTAATTGTTATTTTTCCAATAATAAGTTAATCTAGACTATATGAATAACTAAAGGAAAACCAATACTGACTTTCGGTGCTTAATAATATTTTTCTACATATATATATATTCTCTAAAGGTGAATCACAGTGACTTTAGTTATACTTAAAACTGATGTAATCATCAGCGAATATTTATTGATTTTCAGTAATAATACACGGATTCTCACTTTTAAAAATTACGATTTTTTGTAGGAGCTTAAAATGAATGATTGCGGTCAAAGTCTCGTTACAAATGTTTCGAAGCGTTTAATGGACCAATCGAAAGAAAGAATTTTACAAATTGACCAATTAAAAACGCTTCAAATCATTTGTAGCACCGTTGACTGTACCTATAACACATATGTTACTATACAGGGTGTTCCCGGGTTAAATGGCCAAATTTGAAATACGTATTTAGGACCTCAAAATAAAGAAAAATTTTCTCTGGAAGAATTCTCGCAAACGCTTCGTTTAAGAGATATTGACTTTATTAAGTTACTAAACTGTAGGAATATTAAAATGTCGAAATGTCGCTTTTTGCTTTGTTTTGAAAGTCGTTGATAGGCTTATGTTCGCAATGTAAACAAAGCTCCTTTCATTCGTACGAAATAATATTTAGACCATTGAATGCTTTTGCAGGGTAAACTTTAAATCAATGTAATTATGCCTCGTTTTGTCATCAATAGATGTAATGCTTGTCTCCGAGCTGGAGGCCGTCATTTTGAACAAAATATTTAATAATTAATTTGTTATTACTGTAAAGCAATAAAGAAGCTTTCGATATTTATTTATTCCTATAGTTTTGTAATTTAAGAAGTATTGTATTATAAACTAAGTAATAACTTAATTATTTTGTACGAATATATGCAAAGAGCTTTGTTTACATTGCGAACATAAACCTATCAAGGATCTACGATTTTCAAAACAAAACAAAAAGCGACATTTGTTGAGCTATCGACACAAGTTTTGTAACATTTCGATTCTTAGACAGGATTACGTGATTTATCTGATTACTTCCTTTCTGCTTGCAGGCGCTACTGAATCGTGCGGCTAAATCGACGCAAGTGTGGCGGTCGTTAGAATCACGTACGGGTGGCTGCGGTCGCCCAGGTAGTTAGGGGACCACTCGGTGCCGGTTGCTGCTAGTAAGGTTGCCATCGAAGGTGACTACGAAGACGAAGACGACGAAGACGAGGACGAGGAGGAGGACGGCGGTGGTGGTGGCGGAGGAGGAAGAGGAGGCGGCGGCGGAGGAGACGGTGAAACCGGTGAAGGAGGTAGTGCCAGTGACGATAGTGGTGTTAGTGGTATCGGTGGCGAAGGTGTTTACGGTGGTTGTGGTGGCGGTGGTGGTATCGGCTGCTGTGGTGACGACGGCGACGGCCGCAGCCGCGGGAAGTGCCAAGTGCGACGAAGAGAACGGAATTAAGGAGGCAGAGAGGTGGTGGTGGTGGAGGAGAAGAAGTTCCGCCCGGAGGTCGTTTCACCCTCTTCGTGGCGACGGGGCCGTTATCTGGCCGCGCTGTTTAGCAGCTGCTGGTGAGAGAGGAAGAGCGTGAGGGTGGCATTTGTAAAGGCAACGTGTAGCAAGATGGGCTGTGCCATGTCCGCGGAAGAACGAGCCGCTCTTGCTCGTAGCAAGCGGATCGAGAAGGATCTCAAGGAGGATGGTATCCAGGCGGCCAAGGATATTAAGCTCTTGCTGCTTGGTATGTTCTTACTTTTTATTAGGAATGTGCGATTTCCGGATTGGGTTCATTGAAAATCGATTTTGTTTTTCTAAAAAAGTGCTTCGAAATATCCCTCTTTGTTAAAAGAAAAAAAAAGAAGCGATTCTTTATAGATTGGTTTAAAATAATATCGTTTGGGAGAATCGATCTTTTGGAGATCGGGGAACATCCTTAATCCCTATAGTCTTTATTCATCTTGAAGTCTGGCGAGAATAAACACGATATGTATGCTCGTTAAAATTTTATAACAAGAAATCGTAGGTGTAGACCTGTGCTATTTTCGAGCTTGGATAATTTGAAAAAAATAAGCATCTAACATCTCACAGCTAACATCTCAAATTCTTGCTCATCATTTTATTTAGGAATGATTCAATGTCAAATCGAAATAAAATTAGATGATCCAAAACTTATATAAAAATAGATACTGTTAATTTAAGTCTAAAAATTTCTTTTGAAAATTGAATATATAGATTCCCATTTGTACTTCTCAGGATTAAATAAATATATGCTAGTTGAATTATTATAGATTTTTAAATATTTTATTAAGTGTTCTCTCTCGTGTAGCTTTAATCACTTAAATTTTATAGAGTTTTCTATCATTTAAGTTAAAATTACTGCGAATATAACGCTATTGTATATTACGCGAAAACGGGTCAAGCAGAAGAGATAAACAAGTAGCTACCTATTTGATTTGGATCTGACTTGTATAATCAACATGAATGTAGTGAATACCAGTATTAGAACAATAACTACAAAAGGTAGAAGGGATGTAAAACACTTCAGGGTTGCAAGTTGCACTGAGACACTACAATTAGTGAAAGAAATATGATAATACACGGGAAGAACAATTTTGCTGAAGTATTAAAAAAATTAGCTGAATATAGATGAAAATAAATTTTTGGTTGGATGAACATAATTACGTATATATGACACTCAAATTGATTGCTAGACTGTTAAAATTTTCTGCAGTATTGCTCATCGTGTTCGAGTTTTTAATATAATTATTTTAATGATCTGACAAAATTATTTTCCAATTTGTTCTACTTAAACTTTTATATACTTTAGCAAAATCGTTCTTTTCCACGCAACTATAATATCGACCATGTCTGTTGTAATTTATATTGAAATCTTATGTATCTTAATTCATATTGTTCGTTCGAAATCCGCTGTTAAATCAGATGGAATTAACATTATAAAAAATTAACAAAATATGATTAGATATGCAGTACTCGAAAAGAATTGCGTGATGAAGCTATGAGAGTTGTGAGACAGGAGGAGAAGGATAGACTTCGTCAAATTGCATAGATATTATCGGGAAATTATCCGTCGGAAATAATGCACGCAACTTGGCGACCGTGATTATATCGACGACATAGTGCGAAGTATTATATCTACCGTTTCTCTCTCGCGTTAGATATTTCATGAGCTATGGATCTATGATTGGTGAGGAGTTGCGCCATTATATGCTCTTTCTCTCTCTCTCTCTCTCTCTCTCTCTCTCTTTTCCGGAGTCTTTATTGATCTATCTAACTTTCTAAATGCGTGCCAAATCACAAGCCAATTATGTCAAAGTTCTTCGTCGCGTGCAAGAATCATCGCAATTCTGCGATTATACTATCTTTGACGTAACGCCGGAAATTGATTCGCTATGTTTTCTCGAAAAGAGCAAAACGTTTCGTTCACGCGGAAAGAACGGTTTTGTTAAAGTATCTAAACATTTATATAGATACAACACACACAGATCTGAAAATAATTTTATTCGAACCATCAAAATTGTAGATGATTATATAGGATGCTCAAAGTGATTCTTAAGCATTTTATTAAATTTAATTATTTAGTTATTTAATTGTTTTGATTTTTAGATATGCAAAACTGTTGTCATAAATTTCTCATTCTAAAATTTCGTAACTATTCATATACCCTGATGCTCTCAATAATGTCTCAAATTTTTTAATATTTTCGTCCTAATTTGGAAACCATCAAATATTTTGTTGAGGATGATGCAATTTAACGTAGCAATGTAAATTACTATTAATGTTGCCGACACTGCTTGCCTTAATTGTTAAGTTGATATAAGTATTCCAAAACTGCGTAAGTTTAATATATGTATAATTAGAATTCAAGCTAAGAATTTTAATTTTCCAGAAAATGTATGTAAATTCCCTAACTTTTCCTTTGATTGTTTTCAATTTTCCTAACGATTTCCAGATTTTCTTGATTTCCAGTTTTGTGATAAAACCCCTGTCTTTTTTCCGTGCAGTCAAATCAGAGGAAATGTATCAATTCTTCAGACTCGTGTAATAATATTTCGAGACTTTTTTTTCTAAGTTTATCCCGGTTTAAAAGATCAAAGGCGATTCGTTTCGATGTCCGCGCGCGCGTTCGAGCGAATAGAGCGCTGGCTTTTTAAATCGACCGGCATGCAGGAAATTAAACGCGACGTAAAACCGGAAGAATGGCGCAACAAGCGTGTTCCTCCTTATTACGGAAGGGTAATGCCCGATCGCTCATCCAACTGATCCAACGTCAGTTCTTTCAGTCCACGCCGGAACGCTTCGAGGCGCATAATTGCCAGCATCGACATCAGATATCATCTGACGTCGGCGTTTCATCGGTGACGTCAACGCTTTGGGATCCGATCGAGATGACGCGCGATAGCGCAATCTCATTTGCTTTGTAATCGCCAAGTCCGAGTCGGGAAGGAACTTTTTAATTTTTAAAAACCGAAATGACAGGGACAGATAAATGGTATGTAACGTGGATCTCGCGCGCCAAAAATATTTCCACCGAAATAGACGGCGTCGAGATTACTGGAGACAGAGCTGGAAAAATAAATCAGATAGCGTTTTTTTTCTCTCTTTCTATTTTTTTCGTCCGGTCTCCGCGTTTGGGATATCTGTCGAGAACCTGCTCCAACAGGGGCTGTCGGGAGACCTGATATTTGTTAGGACACATACTGTTGCCACGTGTCAGCGTCCCTTGAGCTGTGGAACATGAGAGCCATGAAATTTTCAGTCTATAGGGAAAGTCTATCGCCAGACTTTTTTTTTAAAGCTAGGGCCATACGGACGACACGAGGATAATTTGGGAACGTGCGGTTTTCAACGGCATTTTATATTCGTTCACTCGAGTCACTTCTCTCACATCAGGGACATATTTATTCTGGTATATTCCATCAGAAGCAGAACGCCTAATGAATTTTTTTTTAGGTGGCAAAAACGTTTCGGACATAATTTCAGAGAAAATGTACGCTATTACTGTTGACATAGATATATGGGAGTTATTATATTTATAATGAGTTTTTGTTCCTCCAGAATATCATATCATAGAGTTGTCATAAATTCTTGATCCTAAAATTCCAAAATTTTTCTCTGACTTTCAATAATATTTAAAAAATTATTTGTATTTTCGTCCCCCTAATTTAAAAAGTTAAATATTTTGTTGAGAGATCAATTTAACATAGCAATGTAAATTACTATTAATGTTGTTGATACTATTTGCATTCCTTATCGTTAAAGTGGTAATCCAAAACTGTATAAATATCATATACGTACAATTTTTTAAAGCCAAGAATTTTAATTCTCAAAAAATTTTGCAAAATTTTTTTACTTTTCTCTGATTTCCAATTTTTTGGCAATTCTCATAAATAAATACGGGAGTTCTTATAGTACAGGCGTTTCAAGATTAAGATGTCAGTGGAATATATTGTTCGTTGACGTCCTAAGATTGAATTAAGATTGAGATCAGATCTTGAATTATTAACGATGAATTTTCACGGTGAATTATGCTTGGCGAATTCCTGCGGGGAAGCATTACGTAACGTACAATGATTACGTAGGTACAATACAGGCAAATATATACACATAGTTACAAGACCTGAGTCTCAGATTCATTCATGACCGCACTCTGTTTACGGATGTATCATTAGGTCTCGTCTACAATTTTTAGGCGATTTTAAGGTATAAAACTTTATCTTTGAATCTTAAGCCGTAAATAATTTTGACAATGTCGAATGTGAGGAGAATCGACTGTGATCGGTCAATTTTTTATGGCTTAAGGCTTAAAGCAGTTTTCTACTTTAAAATCCCATTGAAAACGCTGCTTTACGTATCGAAAAATTTCATATTTTATCGTGTTATTTTTGTATCGATATTAATGAGACGAACGCCATGTTAGCATTTAATTACCATCTTTTGTAGATATTACTACGCTAGTAATACCTCTGTGATTCGAAGTCTTAATGAAAAATCCTTCGTCGGCCTCGCGCTATAATTAGAGGCAAAATCAGTGCGGAGGTGGCATAAAATGCACCGGCGTATTGTCTCCGTTTATCTGTCCGCGTACTAATTGCTTCGCACGTTTTCAATTTATCTTCTCACCTTTTCTCTCTTTCCGTTTCGTAAAGAAATATACCTGGTGTTTTTTTGTGGTAAGATTGTCAATATTGATTTTACTTTTTTGGATATGCCTCACGCTGCGTCCTTTTAACACAATGATTTTCCGGTCCTTTACACACGATGGGTCATTCATGTCCCGAGTTAATTTTCATCACACTAATGTACACAAAAATTAAGTGATTCTTACACATACTTTAATATCTTTAGAAAGTATTTGTAAGGTTGTGTTAAAATAATTGTATATAAATGTTATAATAATTTACATAAATTAATTAATATACACGTATAGTTTTTTAAAGAAAAGTATACAGAACAAGAAAATAGTTCGATCAAGGGATGAACCATTGACCAAAATTGTGTACATTAATGCCTACTAATACTCGAGTAATGCCCATTAATACCCTCTGGTCATACCTACTATAATGACCATTAATGCCCTAGTAATGCTCTATAATATCCATAGTAGTACATAATCTTATACGCTTATTATACACACAAGTCTCTTCTCCAAGTAATGCCCAGTAATGCCCCAAATCTGTACATCGCAATGCCCTCAGCTATCAATCCCTTAGACGCAATCATGTGTAAGGTTTAATATTCAACATTTAATACTTTGATAATTATGAATTGTATTAATATTCTGCGAAAGTACATTGACAAAACTGTCTGATTAAATTAATTAAAAGTCTAGTGTTGGAAATGGATGAATCAGAATTTTCTCGTTATAAATCTACTAAATTCTAGTTATGAGACAACCAGAATCTGATTAATGTAATCAGAATCTTCTATGATTCGTCGATTTTTAGCCAGACCTTTTTCTCTCTCACAATGTAAAATTGTTTTTATTTTTATAAATAAACATTTAAATAATTTATAAATAAAATTTTCTCGTTTATAATTATCAAAATTTAATTCGTTGAAGGCGCCTTATTTTTAACGATGTTAGGCTTCAGAGGACATACTATGCATCCTAAAAATCACATCCTATCGTTAGCTTGAAATACGCGACGTGCGAGCACCGTGGGAGATACGTTTTCTAGCGAAATATGGGTCCTGTTTGTTGGTGTAACCAGTGACGTCATTCGCCGGCGAACGTGCGTGCGTATGTACATGCGCAAATTGGCTGCGAGTATTTTCATCCGATTAATGGTGCCTCGACTGCGAAATACAAACGCACGTTGCGTATTTCAAGGCGACGCAGGGCGGCTCTATGGCATAAAATGTCAGCGATTGAGACGCCTTCTTTGTCGCTGAGTGTCGGTAGACAGAGAACGTTAAAAATACGTGTAAAAAGAGAAAATGTTAGGCTTTTGTAGTTTTGTGAAGAAGACAGGATCTTTTTAAAAATTTTTCATTTTTGTGTTATTATTTCTTCAACCTATTTTTCAAACTTTATACTCAGATTCGACTTAGAGCAAGGAAATTTTTATCTAAATGATTTCTTATTTCGATGTACTTAAATTGATTCTAAGATTTCAACGCAGCAATTAATTATGACAATTTACAGAAAAATTGAAAAATGTATACATAAAAAATGTTATCATTCCACATTTTCTAAGTATTTTATACACAAAATGTATATCGAATATATTTAAAGATTTATGTGAGAGAATTTCATTTCACATAGACGGTTTGTTTCGGAAATTTCATGAAAGATTTTGTAAACATTAAGCATAGTATATAAAATCAGCATTGATTGCATATCGATTGCATATATACTGATGTAAAATGGCAAAGGGCACGGAATGTTTGCGCGTGAAACCGCGGCCAAAATGTTAGAAGGGCAACGTAATAAAATACAATTTATTGGAGCCTATAATTTATAACAACCAACGGTGAAGTGTTTTTCCGTTTGCTAAATGTTGCATTCAATATTTAATTACAATTAATATTTCATTTTTCGATTCAGAATTACAATGCAAATGCATGTAGAATTACGTAGGATTTGCTGTAACTTACCATTGAAAAGAGTAAAGTCTCTCAAAAAAGAACAAAATCATTTTTCATTTCTAAATATTTAAATAAAAAATTTATTAATAGAAATATTTTTGTAGATTCTGTTGAAAAATCAGATACATTTTTAATATGAATTTGCAACTTCAATGAAATATATATTAAGTTGCTTTTAGTAATAATTAGCCACTGATGAATTAAAATAATAATATCCAATCGATTTTCAACGTATGGAAATTGTGTTGAATGAAACTTTTCTCCGCGATATTTTATACATAAAATTTGTATTAAATATGAATAAAACATCTCTGCCTTTTAATAAATACAGCTATGGCTATTTTATAACTAATTCATGTATTCATGCGAATTCATAAAACCTTCTTTCATTTTATAATATTACTTATGTTTAATCTACAAAAGCAGGTATTAATTTTCTCTTGTATTAACGTTTCATGAATATTCCTATACATGGTTGATTCCATACTAAACTGATATAGCGTCAATGAAGTGCAAACAGTTTCTTGTCTCCTGCAGCGCTCCGTGGGCACTCAAATTTATCTAAATTATCTCCGTTCTACATTTATCGTGTTTGTGATGCATATAAAGTCGCTCTCACAATGAGCCATATTTTCTTGAATAGAACAGGTGAATGAGAACGCAGCTGCAGGAAGTAATGCGTACTGACGTGCATTTCTGGACCGGATTTGAAAGATAAACCGATCGTTTACAGTTTCTGGGTTTCAGCAAAGTTTCAACGTGTAGTAAACAGGTTGGCTGACAGGTGCCAAATTTTACCGAGGCGCCATAGTAAACGCGATCTGCCTCTAAATCATACCAAAACGATATAACAAACCGTTGTATGAATAATAAGCGTACCCGAAAGTGCACGGTGCAGTATAGTACAGGAGATGAATCAGACTGCGCGGAAAAGACGGTTTTGCTGAAGCAAAATAAAATAGGATGAAACAAAATGCAAGCACTCTCTTTTAGATAAACCTCGGATATACTTAGAGAACTCCTCCTCGATAACTCTTTGTATTAAATTCTATATTACCTTTCTTACAAAAAGAACGGTTTTATTGAGATATCTAAAAAAATTACCTTGAATAGACAGATCTAAAGATAATTTTATTGAGCCATCAAAATAATTATGTGGAAACTGATTGCTAGAAATGTTTTGTAGCATTGTTAATTTATCATGTTTAAAATTCCTACGTAACTATTCTGATTAATCCATCAAAATTATTTTCAGATCTGCATCTAGCTAAATTTTTAGATACATCAACAAAATCGTTCTTTTCGTATGGAATTATGAAAGTTAACATATAGAATTTAATACTACAAGAGTTATCGCACGGAGCTCTCTAAGTACGGTTTATCTAAAATAGAGTGCTTTTGGATTTTATTTTATCTTGTTTTATCGAGGCACAGCCTACTATTTTACTGGATACTAACAGCGACTACTTTATCGGAGTAAAATAGAACTCAGAAGCTAGAAGAGTCGCAATGGTGAACACGATTTCGGTGAGTTTTAGACAAATTTCCAACTCTCGTTTGGTTATCCAGTCAATGTTTTACCTCGGTGAGAACGCGATGAAGATCGTCGTCGGTGTCTCGAGATGAACTCCTTTCTTCTCGGTCGTCGTTTATAGGGCGCATTTACTCGAGATCTTACATGTATTCAGTTGATGCTAAACGGCTCTAGCCGTTGAGTAGCTATTATAGATGGCTGCTTACGGACTGGGAGTGCTTTTAAAAGTGGGAGAGCGGAGGCTTGCGGTAAGCAGGAAAAGCGAGTTCCGTCGACGTATCCGGTTATATAGAGCGGCATATTTTGCGATAACTCGTGACTCTGTCCTAATGCGTTCGTCAATCCGATTTTGGTGATGTCCACACGTGAGATCATTTCTTTCATAAAATTATTGATAGAAAATTACAATTTAATGTTTACGAGAAACGTCTTTACCTTTTTTTTTTTTGTACAACTCAATGAACAAAATAGTCGCATATTCCGATATATACTGCTAATACTATGCTATGAAAATCCATAGTATATATACTATGTAACGTAACATATAAATTTTCATTCTAATATGATATAGAAATACAACTAACGAAGTAATGTATATGATTGCAAATTTTAATACATATTCTTTAACGAATTTTTAACTGAACTTTCTTTGATGATAATTTAAACAGAGATTATACGCCACAATTTTTCAATGTTTGATACGAAATGTCATCATAAGTCTTGAAATCATGAGTCTCAAAGTAAATTCCCGAGTAAATTTCGCTAGAATTAAACGGAGAGTAAGAGGCTTATCTTTCCTTTGTTCAACGCGCAAAGTTCATTTTGCAACGTAATTCGGCGATATGCAATCGTGAGAGACTTGATCACTCTCAGTTATTAATGTTCCTTTTTTGTTTTTCAGGAGCGGGCGAGTCCGGCAAGAGTACGATCGTGAAACAAATGAAGTAAGTATAATCGTCTTAGCGCTTCGTGCTACATGCGCTAATTATCATTTGGAGGAGGGGGATTCTATTATTAAAACGAGATTATATCCATACGTATTGTTTATTCCTAACACACATCGACCATTCCCGACTGTACCAATTAAATTAAAACCGATTTAACTATGTGGGTAAAAAAAATAGATTATAGGTGATTCAGCAAATCTATAATTTGCTACGCGGTATCTATAATATTGCTTCAATATTTATAACTAAGAAGATTTAATAGTTTAATAAAGAAATTGTGTCTGTAAGCAACTTAGCATACTAATTCAGCTCATTCTTGACTACAATAAAAATTGTTAATGTAACAGGTTTTCTTCATTATATAGTAGCGAAAGTGCGTTATTTTAGGTAGCACGTTTTGTTATAATTTTGATTTATATATATTGGATTGATTTTCGTAAAACGTTATTTGTACTGTATTGACAAAGTTATTACAAATATGATTATTTACAGTCCCTAATTTTATTTAGCTATATAACTTGGCTAATTTAGTGTTGAAAAATGACTGTATATCACTCTAGATTTGCTGAATCAGTGAAGAAGTTTTTAGTGGCTTGAACAAATCTTTTTTTCCGTATATATGCAACAGTTTCCTATTTACATTTGTCAATCTTGAAATTTTTGGTTTGATTGAATAAAATCATTCAAACGATTGCGAGAAACGGAGTCGTGGAGAGTTTACGAGAGAATATTATTCGGATATATTATAGTTCATGCAGTCATGAGAATGATTCATCCGGCTCGTGCATGTATGTGCGTAATTAAATGAATTTTGGACTCGTTACCCGGGAATTTAATGGTTCTTCCACTGGAAAATGAGACGGCACGAAGAATGCGACAAGAACGGGTTATGGATACAATGGTACAATGCGATGTCTGCAACGCTCTTTGATGTTTCGCGACGTCACGGAAATGCTAATTTGCGGACACTCATCAGTCAGCTGCAGACTGATTACGAGAGAAATACTTTCCCACGTTCCTTTCCTGATCCCTGAATAGACCGCCAGATTTTTGCATTTTACAGTTCATAGTTTTAATTGCCTTAATTCTTAATTTCTATTTTTCGCGAGCTTCTCTGTTTTTCAAATCTAAATTATATAATATCCTTTATATATTATCAGAGTGCCTTTTTACGTTTTTTTTATTTTTACGTTAATTATATATACTTATTTTTTAAATTTACCATGTATAAAAACATAATAAAATAATATATTCTTATTTTATTTTTATTTGTTATTATTGTTAATAGTAATTTCATTCCGATTGTCTTTAGTTTTAATATTTTTAGCGGTCGAATTTCCATTCAATCGATTTTGTTTTACGAGAGGTTTAGCCGTCCGAAAACAATGCAGTTTAAATTCAAATGATATAACTTAATAACTGGTCGGAAATGAGTCAGATCTCTAATTACGTTTCAGTTTGCTTACTAAAAGTTAAATGACTTGAATCATAACGCATGCCTATTCACTTAGGAATTAAATTGTTTGAGATGTTTCGTTATAATAAAAGTATTTTTCGCTCGCAATTCTGCTTGGCTAAATCTTAGCGATAATACAAGTCTTCTTAATCCAATCAAAATTATAATTATTTTGATTTCATTGAAAAATATATACTTACATAGAAATTGTGCAAAAATAGAGAGAATATCGCGCAAAATTATTAACAAATTCGCATAATAATACATAATTGAAAGAGTGTGCATTTATTTATTATACCTATTAGTATTGTATGCATTATCAAAAGGACATTTTTTTCATTAAATAAATTTTATTTTGCGCAAAGAGAGAGAGAGAGAGAGAGGAGAGGGGGAGGGCGCAATTTCCTGAATTATCACCGCTGCGCTTCGAAAGTAAGCAGAACGTCGAATAATAGCGCGTGTCCATCTCTCGCGTGTGCGAATAATAGATTAATCTTTTCGCGTCCGTACATCGGCATTATTTCGAGGCAAACTGTTGCCTCGCCTCGGCGAGATCGATACTCGCAATGTTACGATACGCTCGCGCGTATCCGAGGGCAGCAGCTGTTCCGTGATACGCGCGCTTGTCCGAGATGTTGGCACCGTATTCTCCCTCCTTCTCTTTCTCTCTCTCTCTCTCTCCCTCTTACGTCTAGATTAGCATATTCCCTCTGTGGGGTGTCTCTCTCTTCCTGTGACCTGCGCCATGAATGGGCCCTGTTCAAGGGGTCCCACGAACAAAGTTACCGCTGTGCATGCTCTCCCAATGGAAGGGAAGCTGTCAGTCGTGAATAGGGACGCTCCTCGTATCTAGATAGTATCGAGGAGTTGATACTTTTTCCTCGATTCTCAATATTTTTATTTTTGATTAAATTTTTTTAAAAGCCGATAAAATGTATTAAACAGAATATATATATATATAGGTTAAAAATGCCAGAAATCTTTCATGGACCACGAGATTCCAAGATTACATCTGTATAAAAAATCCTGATGTAACATATATTATCTATATTACATTGGTAAAAAGGGGGATAAAAAAAGACAGATGTTACAGTCACTTCAAACTATAGATGGTTGAACGCTGAATATCTGGAAAATTATAGATTCGTGTTATGTTCTTAAAACAAGCTTCTTTTCATGCAACCGCATCTCCCGTACACCAGTTGCATAATTTATGGATGCGCATAATGCAAGGAACAGTCGGTGCCCCAGACTAAAATACGAGCGAAGCGTGATTTCACGCACACTTTTATGCGGCCAGTTTTTCTTCTCGCGTGCGAGCAGTCATAAATCTAGCGGTGTGTGCGTGCGTATTACATATAGTATTCTCCATGCCGTCTCGTTAATACCGTTACTCTCGAAACAGCGAACACTGTTTCTGTATCATTTATTAACGTAATGGACAATGCAATATTCTTTGTTGAGATTAATACATCGTTAAATGTTGCAACGTTTGCGCGACAGTCACTTCGACGGTGGGAATTACATTAGAAAATATTGCTGCACGAATTATAATTAATATACGTTAATTAAAGAGTCCGAATTTCTCGCTCTCATTTTTTTTTTTTTACATTTATTAGAAGGAAAAACCGAGGATGTGTCACGTACATATTTGATAAAGAAATTATTAAAATTCTCAAATGTTTGTACATGACGTACATATACGACAAAAGAGAGTTAATTAGTGCTGGAATAACATTGTTCGAGCAAATGAAATTTTTAAAAGTCCTTCGGCTTCTCTTAAGTGTAAATCATCTGCATTCGAATTTACATTTTTTTTTTGAAATTATAAAAGTAACAAATTATATGATTATGTAAATAAATGTAGAATATTTTTTCGCGACTCTGATTATATATAGAAGAGTATACTTAACCGCTGGTACGGACACAGATCTATTCCATGTAATGCTACACCGTGTTTTCACTTGTATACATAGCGGCGTCGACTCTATAATTCACCTGTGTTGACTCCGAACATTGTTACGATATGTATGGGCACTCATGTAAGTCACGGAGTACATGTAGCGCGCATTGCAATTCATATATGCGTTTACACAGGGTGCACTACGTGGCATATATTAATTCGAGCCGTTGCGCACGTGATACGCGTATATTACAGTGCGATTGCAAACTCCTTTGCGAGTGAGCCGAAGGTACTTAAATCAAGGGGGGATGTCCATTCATTCGAATAGTATCGAATAAGTTCAAGTATCGATATTACACTCCCCCGACACATATTCCGTTTTTTTCCAGAAAATTGCTTCAGTCTTCAGAGAGTGTGATGATCTCTCCCCCCTTTTTTCCTTATTTTATAAGTAAACGTTGTCTTGAACTAACCATCCCTATCCTAATATTTACGAAGAGGAGAGACATCCTGCGTGCGTGTCTCGCCTTGCGGACGTGCTAACGCGAGTGCGATTCTGCTTTCAGAATTATCCACGAGAGTGGCTTCACGCCGGAAGACTTCAAGCAGTACAGACCCGTCGTATACAGTAACACGATACAATCTCTAATCGCTATTCTCAGAGCGATGCCTAATCTAAACATCCACTTTTCAACTAACGAGCGAGAGGTAATGTGCATTTGTGTCTATTCGAATACTTGAGAAAGTATAGAAGTTTGTTGTCGGGCAGAGATTCCGTACAACTATAAATTTGAAATATAATACGCGCGATGCACCACGCACATCTTAGAGTTACTTTAAAATAGCCCTCCAGCAAGCGACATAGATGACACAATGTAACACAGTGAATCATTACATTCTTGTAGTTTGCTAATATTAGATAAAGATGAAATGCTTCGCTGTTAAGTTATAAATATAGGTTGAAATAAATTCCTAAAATTCCATAATTTTTCTCTGATCCACAAAGAAATTTCATGATTTTCCCTAATGCTTTCAGTAATATGTTGACATTTTTGTAGTATTGTCTTGATAACGATTTCAAAATCGTTAAATGTTTTGTTCAAGATCAATTTAACATAGAAATGTAAATTAGGTTGCTTACACTACTTGCATTTAATTGTTAAGTTAGTACACTCTTAAAAATATCGATATGAATTTAATACTCATGACTGTCTATTAATCTCACTGTGTTGGTGTTAATATTAACACTAACATGGTATGTATTTCGAATCCATAGTTAAAATCATATTGATGTTGATGGTGATATTAAACTTCTTTAAAATCAAGAATTTTTATCGTCCAGAAAATTTTACAAAATTCTCTGACCTTTTTCAGTTTCCCTGACATTTTCCTGGTTTTCTTCATTTTCAGTTTTATGGCAACCTTGTAATATTACATCGTACGATAAATTTTTCAAGCGTTTTATTGGCTGAAGGACAGAAAATATCTTTATCCTACAGAAAATCCTTTTATTCTACAGTCAATCAACAGGCTTGAAAAATTTGTCGTACGACAAATGTAATACCAGAGCCTTACACTGTGTCATTTATGTCTTTTGTTGGAAAGTACCCAATAACTTCAAGGTAAATTCCCGTTACGTTTAAGCGCACACGTCTGTGTTTCATTGAATTTAAAATTTAAATGTTTAACTTTGTTTTATACTTTCAGCTCGATCACGTCAATGTGTTATGAGATTTATTTATAGTAAAAGAGATACTTCAATTTTCTTATCTTAACAAATTTTTATCGACAGGTAGTTTAGGAAAAAGATCACATTGCATGCGCAGAAATTATCAGTAATTAATTTTTTATTTCCGATGTAATTTATTAACGATGTTTTTATACTGCTCATCCATACTCGAGATATATCCATGCTCGAATCGCTCATTTAATTTCAATGAAATGTCAAACGCAAAATTATGAAAACGGTTCAGTAACACGCATATCAGTTGCATACATCTCGTATGTTATTTAAATGTTGTGTATCGACCATTTTAACTTGTGAAGCATGACATGACATCCAGAATGTGGTTTACTACATGCCGACGTTATCTAATGAATGAAGCATTCAACGGCGAATCATAACGTGTTGCCTGGTTGATTAGCCGTCTAAAGCACGATCGTGTAAGACGATCTGACTAGCCGGATGCGTGCCCCCAAGATCGTACGAATAATTATTGACCATTTCTCCTTGTTACTACTACAACTCTTATAATTCTTTGCATGTGTGTGTGTGCGCGTGCGCGCGCGAATTAAAAGATTATAAAATATCTTAGGCAAATATATAGTAGACAAATTGTGAAAATTTTTCATTACAATTGTTTGTTACATTTAAAATATAGTCACATAACATTCATTATGTAAATCATATTGATTTTATGCCGGAAATAAAATTCTGCCTAATACATGCACAGTAAAGAACATTTTGTATTTGTGTCGAAAATACAATAGTTCATTTCAATCTTCGTTAAAATGTTGTGCTGAATTTTTAGCATATTCGAACGTTTATTTAATATAATGGGATTAATTTAATTAATTTAACATTGTGTTATTTAAATATTTTGTGTTTTGAATTAATATTCACTATTTCTTAGTGTTAAAATAACACAAATAAAATTGAAGATTTCAAGGACTCTTTTATATAATAATAATTAATACGTTAAACAGGGCGAATAAGAGTCAAATTACAATTAAAAATCTAAATCTGATAATTTATTCTAATATTATATATTGCGAAGAATATCACGTAATTTTTGGCGTTTCACTACAATGCCTTACTGATGAGTTCAGTAGTGGAAGCCGGGACGAAACGCCAAAAATTACGTGATATTCTTCGCAATATATAATATTAGAATAAATTATCAGATTTAGATTTTTAATTGTAATTTGACTCTTATTCGCCCTGTTTAACGTATTAATTATTAAAATAACACAAATTATGAGTATAAAATGTAACCAGATATTGACGAGGACATATTGGTACGATAAAGATATTTTCGAGTATAAGAATTTATATATTTTTCGTGCTTTCAGACGGACGCAAAAATGGTATTCGACGTAATACAAAGAATGGAAGACACGGAGCCCTTTAGCGAAGAATTGCTGGCGGCTATGAAGAGGCTGTGGTACGATAATGGAGTGCAGGAGTGCTTTGGTAGGAGCAATGAGTATCAGTTGAACGACTCCGCAAAATAGTAAGTAGCGATCATTTTTTGAAGAAATTAAATCCAACATTTTTTTACATGTACAAAACAATTAATAATCCCAAAATATAATCTGTTTAATTCTGCTGCAAAATTATCAGTTAGAAATAACTTATAAATTATGTATAAAGGGAATGTTTATAAATTCGGTTTAAATTGTATTATTTAAGCGCGCGCGAAAAAATTATTTCGGACAATATAAATAATTTTTTATCAACAAGAATCTTATCTTAATGCGACCGATCGTCGCGGAATATGATTACACATCACGAGGAAAATATAATAATTTAGGATTTGGGTTCTATACAACAAGTCGTACTTTCAAAGTCTTAAGCCATAAGAAATTGACAAATATAATCGATTAGTCTTCTCATATCCGATTGTGATTGGTCAATTTGGTACGGCTTAAGGCTTAAAGCTTAAGTAACGACTCACCATATAGTAGAAGATGCGTTATTCTTGAGAATTCGTGTACTCGAAAGGGCGTGCGAACGCGGAGGGTAGCAGGAGCAAACCTCATCCTGAACGTGAGACTTGTCGTCTCTCCTCTCCTTCTCGATGCGTTTCGCAGGCATATTTCCGCGCTGCCCCCTTCGTTGGATATTGATTTTGTAGTAGCGCTTGTACATCTCGGTGTAGTGCCGTTTTCCAATATTTTCATCAGTTATCTTCGCTAAGCACATGTTTTTTTTTTATTACGGGATGCTTTTGAGCGCGTGTATAGATTTGATGATTGCGGATCTATTCTCCTCGATAAAGTCGAATCACGACACTTGATAAATCCATCGCAAATAACGCGATTAAAAAAAGAATGAGTTTGTTTTTCCAACATTCTCCGCGAGCAATTATTTTCGAGGATTAATTCAAAAATAGTCACAAAATTGGAAGTCAGGGAATTGTCAGGGAAATTGAAAGGATCAGGAAAATTATAGAAAAATCAGGGAAATTCGCAAAATTTTTTAAAAAATTAAAATTTTTGATTTAAAGATATTTTATAGACGTATATTAAACCTATACAATTTTTAAAGTACTACCAAAATTTAACAATTAAAAATGCAAGTAATGTCAGCAACATTAATCATAACTTCTATATTGAATTTTGATCTCTCTCAATAAAATATTTAACGTTTTCCAAATTAAGACGAAAATACAGAAAAAGTTGAAAGTAAGATCGAGAGTCACGGAAAATCATGAAACTTCGTCTAGAAATCAGAGAAAAGTCAAGGGAATTTTAGAACGAGGAATTTGTGACAACCTCTTGATTACTCCACTTTTTACTTTCACGAAAACAGTACTACGTGATGTTGAGAATCAATGCACTCATAAGATCAAAGAGACAAGGTAACAGTTTCTACGTTGAATTTATTCGAGACTTTTACCCGCTATAATCTAACTCATTTTCACAATCCAAGCAAAATAATTTCGTACAAGTTTCGCATTTTTTTTTTCCCCCGAGAGAGATCCCCTTACTGACAATGAAACACGAAGAGAAATCAACGCGTTGTATAAACAAGTTGGCCGCGAAAGATTTAATCGCGCGTAATCAGGGTGGTATGTATGCCATGTCGTCGTTGTGTATCCACTGTTGCGAGGTCCTGTCGCTGACTATTAGCGACAGAACTCGATTGGGGCATACGTGTTCTATCGTCTGCACGCAATACGACGGGCGACGGTCTTTTTTTTTCTCAACGCCACGCCGTTTTCTGGCGCCGTTCCTAGCTTTAATAAACCGCACTGCGGTTTCGCACCGGGTTGCACGATATTGCATACAGTACACTCATTGCACACGCAAGTGCGCTCTTTCTCTCTTTTTCTTATTTCCCCCTTTCCATCATTTAATATCATTCACCGAGGAAACCCTTATCGCCCTTGATAATTATGTATAACGAAAGTCGATGCTTTTTTGATAATAGCGCAAGATATTCGCATTTAAAGTCGTGAAATATGCAAAATGTGAGTTTACTTTTCAATAATTATATTAATTATTTGCATTCGACTCGTTCAAAAATATACATATTTATGACAGAGCAAAAAATTGTACTTAACACGATATTTGTATATACAAATGATCGTGTTGGTATTAAAGACTAAATTTACAAATAGATTAGTACACCGTTTGGCATTTTAAAATAACACAGTACTACGATGTGCTATTAATCTTGGAAACCTTTTATTGAAAAATTGAAAAAAAAAATGAGCGAAAAAGAAATTTTATCTCGGCATGCAGTGAATATCGCATGTTGAAATTTTATATAGATACATTGATGCAAAATTGCATAATGAATCCTTGTGTGTGAATTGAAATTTCTGAATTTCCGACAAGAAAATTTTTCCGTTTTCAATTTGCTTATAACATTCCCAAATTATATTTACGACCTAAGATAATTTCGATATTTGATATTTTGACTTGGGGAGAACTCAATCATAGTTCAGTTGATAAAAGACTCATCTAACGTGTAGTCTTCTGAAATCTGAAAAAATGGACATTTCGAGGGGAGGGATTTTCTTGAATAATTCTTTGGAATGCGATATATATATGTATATATATACACATACCATATATATCATACATACACATATATACATACATATGTATATATAGAATCTTAGCGGGAACTTCGTTTCGCGCGCAGGCCGGAAGAGGATAACGCGAATTTCCCGAGGGGTAAGTGCCGGGGGAGATGCGACAGGTTTGTCCGAAGATAGGGAGGGATGGAGGCAGATGATGATACGACGGGGGGATAAGTGCGATAGTCGAAATGTTACGAGAAATGCGCGCCTTTCTCTCTCCTTTTCTCTTCTTTTCTCTTTACCGCCTTCTTCGGGGATTCTCTTCCTCTCCCTCGTGCGCACCTTGTCATTATTGATCGCAGATGACGTCACGCCACGCCCGTGTCACGTGGCGCGCGAACAAGATGGCCGATCGGGTTCCGGCGAAACTACACCTTCTCTCCTATTTTCTACCCAGTTTACTCGCATCTTTCTCTCTTCGCGTTTTCTTTTTCTCTGTTGTTGGAAAAACCTAAGCTCCTTTCCCTAGGGAGGTGTTACCAGGATTCACTCGCTCGTCTCGGCTTTAGCGTGTCTTGAATAGTCGAATCCTTCATGGCGGCCTGATTTCTCTGTGCTTCGATCTTTGCTTCCATTCTTGCGCTCTCTCTCTCTCTCTCTCTCTCTTTCTCTCTCGCTCACTCCTTGATATTCTGGATCCTTTCGTTTCATCTTCTATTCTATTACATTATCTTGTTATTGTTTGCGTTTTTTTTCTTTTTCCTCTCTTGTCAGAAATTCATCTGTCATAAACCTTGTCATAATCAGCTTCTGATTACTCTTCTCTCTGATCTCGTTCCTTTCTTTTTTACTAAAGCTTTCATTACTAGAGGAATCTTGCAACTCTCATCTTGCAGAGTTGCAACCCCTAAATGCCATAATCAAAGGTCTAAAAAGATGGCGCTGCGTGATTTTTCCTAACCTGTTATTTCTCCTTTTGCTTCTTGGAAAATGCATAGATATGCGGCGATTCTAACAGTCAGAATGAGGAACTATTTTGATATGATCATTATCATACAATGAAAAATAATTTGCTTTGAAAAATAATTATCATTTTTAGCACCTGTTATAATAAGCGAATATTTATTATTATATTTAAGTTATTATTCAATATTTAACACCCGTACCGTCTCAGCATCGAGAAATGTTAACTAAGTCTTTAATGCAACTAATTTATTTAACAATTAAATTTACAATGAAGCTGAATTCAAATATTTAATAGAATTTTGGTCATCATTTATTTGAACATTGTTATTAATTTTGGCAAGTACCCTGTAACTTCTAATATACCGAAACAATATTCTAAAAAAAAAAAGTAATCGGATTTGGTTGTTGTGGGGAAAGAAGTTGGTTTTGTCCAAGTGTCTAAAAATTTAGTTAACTACAGATTTGAAAATAATTTTGAATCGATCATCGAATTAATATGCAGAACGCTGAAACTGATTACTAAAAAATCTAAACTTTTTGCAGCATTGTCATCGGCATTTAGATGTTCTGCATAATTCATTGGATGATGCAGCAAAATTATTTTCAGATCCGTCCCAACTAAATTTTTATATACTTCAGCGAAACTGTTCTTTCCGCGATACTTATACGGCATTGAATTAATAGTGCCAGTTTTGTGAACAATCGGCGAGAAACTTCCGAAGTGCTTGCACTGGCGGAAGCGTTTCCTCGTGGCCAGTTCGCACGGCAGTTTACGAAGACCCGATTACAGTAACACTATTTATTATATCCACTCGCTTCCAGCTACTTGTTGCGAGCCGCGCCCTAGCTCTCCCACCTCGAACGCTCTCGCCGCTCGAAATCGAATCTGGATTTATTGTAGGCTATAAACAGATGCTAATTTATTGCCAATTAATCGATAGTGATCGTTCAAAAAGTTATTGACCGCACAATATACTTCACGAAGAATAAAGGCCAAAGATGAAAACGCTCATGTATACGGAAAAAAATCATATTTGTAATAAAAATAAATAAATCGGAATTAATTGAAGAGAAAAATTATTTCATTGCTTTAGGAAATAGCGAACAAAATAAAAGATTTAATGCGAGAACAAATTACATGAGATAATTAATTTATAACAATTTGTCGAAATATTTTGAATATCGAAATATGTAATGTATTATTTGTATCTTGCGATTCTGTAACGTTTTCTTTTTTTTTTTTAAATAAATCTATCGTTCTTTGCAGCTTCCTGGATGATTTGGACCGATTAGGAACGAGGGATTACCAGCCAACGGAACAGGATATCCTTAGGACTCGAGTGAAAACGACGGGAATCGTGGAAGTCCACTTTTCATTCAAAAATCTCAACTTCAAGTATGTCGAGATTTTGTTCCGATTATTTTAAATTAAGCAAGAATGAATTAAATTAAAATAGGATGATAATCTACATTGTAATAAATTTACATTTGAGTTAGAGCTTTTAAGTAGGATCGTTTTGCGCATGATAATGATATCAATCGTTCCTGCTTCATTTGTGGTGTCAATTTGCTTGTATAATCTCGCGAGCGAGCGCGGTGTTCTGGAGATGCGAGGCGGTTCCGTTATGAATAGTCGACGCGTGAGTCATTAGCGTGATAATTCCAGCATTTACTTGAAACGAAGCCGAACGATGAGTCGTATGTGCCGATGCTTCTTTCCGTTTGTCGGGGAGGATCGAAAATTAGTGTGATTAGCGGTTGAACATGCGCGTGTTGAGATAATTATACCTTCGTTAAATCCACCATACTGGTCTCTGAACGATATCAAGTACTGATTGAGAACTAATTATAAGACATGCATAAGAGCTTGTCACAATTGCAGACGCGATATCAATATTTTGTTTAACGTGATTATTTTCTAATAATATCTTGATGGAATAGTAATTAAGAGACTAAAATGACAATAAAATTAATTTTATCTTTGTTCTTTTTTTTTAGATTATTTGATGTGGGTGGTCAGAGGAGTGAGCGTAAGAAATGGATACATTGCTTCGAGGATGTAACTGCAATTATCTTCTGCGTGGCAATGTCCGAATACGATCAAGTCTTGCACGAGGACGAAACGACGGTAAATACCTCGCTAATTTATCTTTTTTGACATATTCATAATGTTTTATAAATTTTCTTTTTATCATTTACTTGAATATTCGACTGAACGTTTATTAACACGTTCGATCTAAACTCAATCGTGAATTTCTATTATAATTTAAATTTTTTAAATAATTTTAAGCAATATGTGTCATAAAGAAAAAAATAATATTTTATGAAACGCCAAAAATATAACGTAATATTCTTCGCAATATATTAGAATAAAATTAAATGTTTTAACGAATTTCTTTGCTCGTAAACCCTTTCTCTCTTTATTATTAGTTTGAAAAACTTAACGAGCCTTCTCACTACATGTTTTAATATTTTATGTTTTATATGAAAAGATCATTATAATGTTATTTCTATGTGTTGCATTAAAATACAATAAAATCAGCATTCCATTGAGAAAAGTTAAGGAACGTCGAATCTCTCGGTGTTTTTATCACAGTCAATACATCACGTTTTTAAATAAACACATAAACGAAGCGAAAAAGCTACAACGTGTTTTCAATCTACGAGATGTGATAAAGACAGTTCTTCTTCTTATTGCGACTGTAAATGCGCGCATTCATGAGGCTACATTGAGAATCTCTCTCTCTCCGAGACAATCAGCATTGGACACGGTTGATGTATGTACATACAGAGTTGAACGTACGGCGATCCGTCAGAAGAATATCACGTCCAAATTAGGAATGCGACACGTAACTGAAGCTCCGAGGAATCAAGGGATCAATTGCCGAGGTCGCTGCATGTGGGAAGGTTCCGTTGAACTCTGTACTCGCGTGCGATAGTGACACACGCGTGTCGTCGTCCTACCAATGTTAATTGCCATTACGGTGTACATCTCGTACCCTGCATCACCGGTCCATCGTAGCTTATACTGATTATGCGCGGGGAGCAAGTGTATCACGTATCACGTCCGCCATTAATAAGGATCGCTTTAAATACAATATCATGTTTAGGGAGAGCGAGTTTCATATATCACGGGCTTGAATCATTCGCGCTATTTGTACTAATGTGATTATTACATAAACGTGTCTCTCTTGACTTGATTAGTCCTTCCGCATCGAAGTATTTTGCGGAAGAGAAAAGAGATGAGAATATCAAGGGAAATTGCACAAATATCTCATGTAAACGAACGAGAATGTTACATAGTCCTTTTGATATTTTACAGAACCGGATGCAAGAGAGCTTAAAGCTGTTCGACTCGATCTGCAACAACAAGTGGTTTACTGACACCTCGATTATCCTCTTCCTGAACAAGAAGGATCTCTTTGAGGAAAAAATCCGCAAGTCTCCTCTCACAATCTGTTTTCCCGAATACGCTGGTAAATTATATATCAAAATACGTGCTCTCTATTGTTCTAGTTTATCTTACAATCATGTTAGCTAACGAGGCATTGAATGCTCGCCGTAGGTGCGCAGGCGTACAGCGAAGCGGCTGCATACATCCAGGCACAGTTCGAAGCGAAGAACAAGTCGACCACGAAGGAGATTTACTGCCACACGACCTGTGCCACCGACACGAACAACATTCAATTTGTGTTCGACGCAGTCACAGACGTCATTATCGCCAATAATCTGCGCGGCTGCGGTCTCTACTAGGCTAATTCTGTATTCTACGTTAAGCGCAAACGGAGGAGGAAAACGTTACCCACGACATGGCTGGCCGGACGATATTCTTCAATGGGTTCGTGGCTCGTCTCGGTTCTATTCCGACACGAGAAAGAGAGAAGGAGAGCAAGAGAAAGAGAGAGAAAGACGACCCCTTTCGTTATCAACGCTGTGCAGAAACGTAGCGAAACGTTTAGTTTGTCTTGTCCTTATACTAATGAATCCGAGAAGCCGACAATCGTTCGTGATGTCGGTCGGAGAAACGGCACGCTCCTTGGCGAAGGTAGCGAGAAAGAACGATCGATTGCGGGAGAGAAAAACGCGTGTTCTGAAAACGAGACGGTGAGCCATCGTTGGCTCCTTATTGGAGAGGGCACAGATGTGGTTTTCGCAGGAAACGAGATCGAAAGCGATCGAAGGCGGTTTCGCGGGTGATATCACGACCTTGGTATATGTGCCGAAAAAATGAAAGGGATCTTAGTTAATCGTGCTTGCATCCGATCGTCGACGGTGACGAAAACTGACAGGTCCTGCAGAAAATTGAGAGGGTCGCAGACTGTTAAATCGAAGCTGGCCATCGATGTTAAGGATCGTCGAGGCTCGTGCACTTTTTGTACCGCGATTTTCAGCTTCGTTCTCGTTTCGCTATAGAAACACTCGAGCATTCCATGACGCTCCACGCGGAAGACGAGAGGAAGAGTCACGCGTGCGCGCCACGCATACGAGAGTCGAAACCTTTTCCCACAATTTTCGCACACAGATTTTACTAAGCGCACTCAAAGTTCGGTTTATATATACACATATACACGTTCATATATTCTCTTATGTCTCTCCTTTCATCGAGGAACAAATTCGCACGCGATCGAACGTATCTCTCGTGAGCGTCGACATGCGTTTTCTCAAATTTGCATTTTGATAAGCGGAGAGCAGTTGAAGGACAACGCGGCAAATTTTGTAAGAGAGCAACGCGCGGTGTCGACATCTCCAAGCTCAGTTGATTACTTCTCGTAATATAACGGTTAGATCCTTCTATTTTTATTTTATGTCATTCTATACGTCATACAATTATCACGCAGTTAATACGACGACCACGCACACTAGGATTTTCCTAGATACAGCAACATTACAACCACAAATGTCGATCCATACGCACATACACACACGCATAAATTATTTTTCACGATGGAGAAACTTATTCTCTTCGTTAACGATCGTCGACAGTGTCATGTACAGTATACTTTTAGCGCACGTACACGAATTCCAAATATATGTAAGAACGTATCGACCCTAGAAATCCTCGCAACTCTGAAATCATCCGTTCGCACGGTGAAATTTCCTGATAGGAATATTAGGGAAATGAAAAGTCACGCGATTTCTACACGCGCGAGATAATCCGCATTATCTTATTCGCGGATAGGAAAACAAATTTACGGAATAATGAGACTTCTTACGATTAAAAATTGTCGATAGTTTACTGACAGTGAAACCAAGATTTTCACGTGGACGCTCCGTGCGTTCGAGCAGGGACACATGTATGCACGTATCTGTGCGTACAGAATTTCTGAGACATCCTGCACACGCGTATGCGGCGCTGCAGCGATTCGCGGGAATCCTAAGAGTGTATTTTTCTAAGTGCTTCGTTTTTCTTCCTTTCCGTTTTCTTTTTCCTACGGGGCGTACCGACAATACTGATGGTTAAGTTCAATGTACGGAAAGAGAGGGCGAGGGAAAGTGTACGAGGAGAGCATGCACACATGGGACCTCACATTTAGGCGCGTGCACCAGCATGTGCGTAACGCGTTCCGGGACAGAACAAGTAAGAATCTCGTTGCGCACAATCGTACTGTACTCGGCGCTATCTCGCATAAGTTATATTTTATTACACAGTAACCGTTGGGGGAGATACCGGCGAGAGAAAACGAGCCACCGATGACGAGCATCGTCACGTTTCGCTACTCCGATTGCTTTCTCGTCAGAAAAGGAGAAGCTGAAGGGAGGCGATGGGAATAGGCATAGGGCAGAGAAGTAAACGCGTATGGAGCCTATGCATAAAGATTGTTGTAATTGCTTTTGACAGTTTCATAAGTCAACGCACAAGGATCAATGTAAACGGCATATGTTGTTGAAAACAATTATGATCAATCTTTATGCGTTGTCTTACATCTCTGTCGAAAATACGGAAAAAAAAAGATTTATTAACAGCTAAAAGAGCTTCACTGATTCGGCAAATCATACAGTCGTAATATACAGACGACTATAATTGTATAGTTTTCTATGTTAAAGTAGCAAAATTGTATTATTAAATCAATTTAGCTATTGTAGCTAATTGTATTTGTTGTAATATTGCAGCAAATTTCTTAATAGGAAAGATAACTTTCCATGAAATCAATTCAATATATACACCAAAATTTTTTACAAAACATGCTAGCTAAGCTGGCACATACTTCTGCTACTATAACGAAGAAAACTTAGATTAACAGTGTTCATTGCAGCAAAGCATTAGCTGTATTAGCGCACTGATTTCTTTATTGAATCAAATCTTTTTAATTCTAGATGTTAAACTCGCGCAGCAAGTTACAGCTTTGCTGAACCATCTAATCTATTTTTTTCCGTGAACAATTATGGCAAGTTTACGATCCTTGTGCTCAAGCCTTATGTTGGGATCAAGTGACGAGAAATCAATCGTTCGAGATATTCAAAGATTCCGTTTTGTCGACAGTAATCCTGATCGAGATCAATACAAAGGTCCTTGGAGTAAAAAGATAACGACAGATCATCCGAAAAGAATGGATGGAAAGCGCGAACGCGACTGCACGATATATCGAGGGCTGACGAATGCAATTGAAGCAAGGCTCGAAAATATCGGTCGCTGATACTTGTGCTCGTCTGATACTTGAATAATACTTGAACGATACGACCGTTTGAAAGATATTTCTGAGATAACTAGACCTCTTATGAGAGTTCATACTGTATACTCTCTTCAGAAGTGTTTTGTACCGTTGGTATCGCTCGCGTGGACCACGAACCGCCATGATTTATAGCAACGTGACAAAATATCGATACTTTAGAAACGAGCCTCGACTGTGGTAGCAATGCTATTTATTAGCGATCTTAAATTATTTGATCTTTAATCTTTTCAAGTATCAGACGATACCCGACGCTTCTAAGCTACGTTACGAGTAGTCAAGTAGTCGATGGCATTTGGGGGGCGTCATCAGTGAGACGAGTGACGAGTTAATTGTACTTTGTGACTTTAGCTAAAGTGACTTAGATAAAGTATTTATACGGAAACCAAAAAGAAGAAATATGTGTAAGAAGTCTCAAGCGTACCAAATAGCGCGTGCCAATGCGCATGATTTAAATTTTAATCTAGCTACGTTAGGGTATCGTGGGGCCCAGTAAACTGCGCTTTCTGTCGAGAGAGTGATTTGGACACGATGAGATTGACGCTGTAGTCGTTGTCGCAAGATACGCGGATTCGACCGATTATGAGCATCGGTTTCTAGCGTTGGTAGAAGGATTGCTTTAACTTTAATTATCATATTAACTACTGTGCTAACAAATTTAACTACTGTGACTGTTCCAAGAGAATTAACTGTGCGACCGAGACTTCGATCGATTTATTAGAGACAGATCGCTGTTCATTGCGATGTCGGTCGAATCCGGTTACTCGCGCACGACTTGATTACTGTGCTGTTACTGTACTGACAATGAAACGTGTTACACTGTAAAAGTGATATCAATAAAACTAACGTTATCAACCGAAAGATTACGTTTTGAAATAAGTATTCTAGACAGTCAAATCTTAGGATTCTATAAATTCTGTATTTAACTTGGACTAGAATATGTTTTGCCATTTTAACTTAAACACAAGATATCTCGAGAGCAATGCATTTTTGAAAAAAATGTATCAATTCAAAAATTAGAGGATTTAAAGAGAATCATCAGATGAGCTACTTAGATTTTGGATTCAAAACCTTATTGGGTTTAAGTAGGTTCAAAATTTAAGTCATCTGATGGTCCTCTTGAAACTACAAATTTTATTTGAAATAATTTTTAATTGTTTTCGAGATATTTTGTATCTAATTTAAAAGCCAAACGTGTTCAAAACTAAATCATGTATAGAATCCACAAAACCCAAAATTTGACCACTTGGAATACCTGTTTCAAATATGATCTTTCGACTGGTAATACTAGTTTTTTTTATTATTATTGCAATGTAGCATGTTATTCTGAGAAAAATGTTCTGATTGAACTAACAAAAACATCATTCTTTTTAGATCTTTTTCTTGATTTAATCAGAATATTTTTCTCACTGCTTAGGTATATGTATAAATGCGATAGACGAGTGAAATTGGGAAAGCGAAACAGGAAATTAAATAGCGTCGACGAAATTAAAGAAATCGAGCGAAATTTAAAAAATGTCTGGGAGACGTCTCGTTCGACGAGAGCCAAAGATTCACCTCTCAACGTTGCTCGATTCGTACTGATTCCACACGAATCTAAGATTTAGTGAGAGATCAAATGACCCGCGATGTAACGTAACTAAATAGAAATCATGCGTGAAGATGATCGTTTTTCGGCTCTAGTCAATCTATCGAGGAGCTCGACATGTCGGTGAAATTATTTTACCGAGAATATATTTAGGAGAGAGGGAGGTCTGGGAGGGAGAAGAGTTCACACGCGTTAATTTAAGTGAAATGTTCGTAGATATCAAGTATGGAGGTCGTGAGCAGGAATATATGAGAGTATATTTGTAGGTCTGCCGATTTACTGCGTTGCTAGCTTGTACATGATTCCAGCATTAAGAAGCGATATAAGCGATGTTTCTGTACGCAAGATGCATGTTTCCTTGATAAATGCTTAGACGAGAAACTTAGGCGAAACGGACGGTTGTACGCGAGCGAATGGTTTGCGATAAAGTAGTAGAAATATAGAACGGTTGCGAGACAAGAAGTGACGGTCACGAGTACTATAACATCTATAAAGTGAGTAGCCCGTTCGATGTATTGCCTGTTGGCCTTGCGACATGAGAGACC